AAGTAGCCTGGGATCCCTCCAGTGGGTTATTTTTGGCTCAAGTGCCAGGCTCTTCTGGTTCAGTCTGTAAAATAAAGCCTAGGAGGAGTAGCTGTGGCAGTCGTTGCCTACCTGGCAGGTGGCAAGGACATGCCGCAGGCTGGTTTCCAAAAGCAGGCCAGAGCATTCTGCAATCAGCTGTACATAAAGCAGAACTTACACATGGCACCAGCTCTCTCCTCACCTTCCTGCTCAGAATTTCAAGTAAGCTTCAGAAATGTCCACACACCACAGAACTTGCATGCCTCAGCCTGCAGTCCTTGCTATATGCACAGAATACAGCCAAGTTCAAAGGCCAAGAGCAACGAGCTTCTGGAAATTAAGTTTAAACTTTGCAAATTACTGTAGGTTTTGCACCAATGCACACACAGAAATAACTAACTTGTGATCAAAGGCAAAAGGAAAAGCATGGTAAGTTTTTCAAGCTCTGCCCTACATTTCAGTATGTAATTACATTAACACACAGTCCCCAGTTTCCCAATTTGTTTGCTGCCACTGAGTATGAGAAAACAAGACTGAGTGTGAGAAATTCTATTTCTTGCAACCATTCAGAGGAAAACAGAGAAATAATAGCGACAGATTTATTTCATACCAACCAGTATTTGTTTGTTGTAACCCAACCTAAACATCATTAATGCAAAGGGGTGTTTTTCTATGAACACAGAAATGATTATTCGTTTAACACAGATATTTGAAAGAAATTGCAAAAGGCATACAGGATTATGATATTCTACCACACAGTATGCATTTAAAACATGGAAAATTCACACCTCAGTGGTTTTGCCATCCGAACTCCACAGATATCATTCCTTTTCCACAATAAATGCTCACTTACATTTGAAACAGGTAATGTTACTCCCAAATGACAGCTTCACAGGGCTACAATAGATGTTTCTGTCCCTTTTGCTTCTATTAAATAACAAGCTATAAAAATAGAACAAGTCACTGCACGCTGCCGACAGTTTTGTAGATTTCCTTATTGCTTTGCTGCCTTTTCCTCTTTCTGCTGTTATCTGTCTCAATCTGATTTCCCCCAGCTTGAAGAGTATTCTGCAGACATTTGATTGATGAAAATCAAAATTACTGAACCATTCCCCAAACCCAAATAAATAAGTAAACAAACAGAATATTCCTTGGGTTAGCCAGCATTTAATAGCAACACTTGCAGCTGAAAAGCCGAGATTGCTGACCTCAATCACTCTCATTGAATTAAAGAAAATGAGTTAGAAAAGCAATTCTACCACAAACCAGCTAACATCCTCATGTTCTGAAATACCTGTTCTGCTTATTCTACAATAAATACATGTTCCTTATGTTTACAGTCACAATGCCAGTTAAAAACACCCACATTTTTACTCATACTCAAAAAATGCTTAATTTCAAAGCAATTTCTCTATGCGGAATACATCTACAGACTGTATTAGCAGATTTTCAAAATTATCAAAATAAAAACACCCATGTGCAGGCACAGACAAACCATCACACACACACACATCTCTGCATAATTATAGAGGAATACAGGAACTCTGACTTGAAGCCTAGCAACAGTATCCAAGTATTAGTTAGTCTGCTAATCAACTACCAAAAACTCACACACCAGTTCAATGTGCTTCATTTTCCTAATGCAAACAAAAACCAGACAAAAGAGTCCTATCATTCCTGGCTCCAGAGCTGCTGAAGGACAAGATGCACAATAGAAAACAAACCTTGTTCACTTGAAGAAGAACAACCCATGTCATTTAGTCCATCTGAAAATTCATCCCATCACAAAGAACCAAGGCAAAAGAGAGATTTAAAAATAGGTTATCCCAGTCAAAGGATTATCAACTTGCAACATACTTAATATCTGCATATCTGTATCTAATGAAAGCTTCAAAATTCTTACATATATGATTGGGTTTTGTACCTCCATGCCATAGAAGCCATAGTAAATTCTGTACAGCAAATGCTTCCTAAATCTGCTGTGCTCATTTACTCACAGACAGCTGCAGGCTGGATGAAAACAATCAGGGATTAACTTTTCTATTCATCACATCTTTTAATCCATTACTTTCTCTTAGTTTGCAATAAATAAATGCATAAAGTTGAATAAATTATAAATGTGTTATGGCTAGTTAAAAGAAAAAATAAGCTTAAAAGGAACACTATTACTATTATTAAATATTTTTAAAGGTGTGCAACATCAGGGGTATGTGTAAGGTCTTCCTCAAAGCTGAAAAGAAGATGCAACAATAGTCACTGAGGTAGGATACACTTCTGGGTCCCGAAGACTTCCAAAATAACTAATAATTAAAATAAGCTACTCTGGTGCTGTTATTATTCCTCAAAAAAACTAATCTGGGGGCATGATGAATTGAAATAATCTGGGAAGCCACACTAAACATTTCATACTGCTTGTAAAACAAGTTTCTAAGTACCTTATGGTAACAGGATTTCTTGCTATATGAAAAATACTATTGTAATTTGTTTCAAATATGATTGCTTTTTAAATGATACGGCAATTTCCATTCACCTTTCAAACACCTGCCATGAAAACAAAAGGGATTCCCTCATAAAAAAATAAATATTATTAAATCTGGATTTTGTTTTTAATTCTTTATAGGGATCTTTTTTTTTCCTGTCCTTGGATTCCTTTATCTTTGCTGTTTGATACTGTCTTACAGAACAGCCTCATCCCAGTCTGGAGTAAGAACTTTACTGGAAGAATCAGCCAGGGCGGTTTTATTGGACTAAAGCCACAGGAATCCCTTGCAAGGCTTTTTCTTTATAGGCTTGTTCACATTACTCTATGGGACATTATTCTCACCTTTTTTGGCTCTAAAATAAATATTTTTTTGTATTTTTCTTCTTTTTTTCAGAACAGTTGGATGATTATTATTACATTATGATTATTGCGAAGAAGCTTATTTTATATATGCCTAATTTTCACATCTATCTGATGTAAGTGCTTTACAATTAAATTAAAAGAAGGAAGAACAATCTTGGTGGGATTTGATCTGTAGGACAAAGATTTAGTGACTCTGCTGTAAATCAGAATTTTCTACCTCTAGAGTCTAAAATAATTACAAAGTGCAAAGAGATTGGGATTATTAAATGAATTTAAAATAATAACAGGTTTTAATGAACTGGTTCAGTATCAAAATTCAGAATCTAACCAAAAACACACTTTCTGAGAGACAAATGATTAAAAGTTTCTTAAGAGAATTGATAGCATGAATTGTCCTCATCTTCCTGAGGATACTTCCAAACTCTTTCCTATTCCTTCCCCCTTTGCTGACTCTAAGGAGATGCATTACTCAAGTGATAAATGCTAGAATACATCCAAAATTATAGGAACACAGTGGGTAATCAGACAAGCACAAGAAGCAAAAGCCAACTTGCTGAAGCTGAAATGCTGACATCACTCTGCACATTCATCATCACAGCAGCTCTCAGGTTTTCTGCTCAGGATTTGGTTCTTTGATTTACTCTTCTTTTTTTCTTTCCACTGGGAGACACTCCAAGAATGGACATTTCAACAGCTTCACTTTTCATAAGTAATAAAACTTAAAGGACAAATGTCCAGCTCAATTAAATTAGGTGGGAGGAAATAACATAATGTAATGTTTACTCTTTAAGACAAACTATTAATTTAAATATTCATGCTCAATCCACCATCTTGCAAAAATTGCAAGTGAATAATGGAAGCACCAATATTTCTATTTTTCAGTGGAAAAAATGGAGGCATCAGAAAAATTTGGAGAATCTTCCCATAGAAAGAATTTTCTAAGCATTTTTCTAGAAATCACCAAATCCTACAAGTCAGCAAAAAAATAAAAGCATTACCCATATGTAAATATAAACAACAATAAGATGCTCAACCTAATAAGAATAACGTGTTCATTTTTAATTCATGCTTTACAGATTATTAATAAATACAGGAGGATGAAGAATTCTTACATGGAAAGGAACTATCCTATTATCCCAGGAAAAAAAAAAAACCTTCCAGACTATCTCTGAACTTTTATGCAGGAGGTATGACTTTGGTTCATTTTGCCCTCAGTTTTCTCAGTGCACACTGCAAGAGATGAAAGTGCTACAAGAACTCACATTACCACAGAACCTTCAACCATATCCCTGCAGATCATGTGCAACAAGGAAGGGAAAGGAAAAGTAGCCCTTAAAAAGGGCTACTTTTTATATATATATAAAAGCCATCCTTAGTTTTATATTTCATGTGAGCTGGCCTAATTTCCCATATAAATGAAATACTCAAGTCAGAGATTTGTCTCGCTGAGTTCGATCAGCACAGGTGCCTACACAGAGCCTCCTGCTGCAAAAGAAATGCCTTTTTTGTTCAACTTCAGGATGTTTCTGTGGAACTTGAACTTGAATTAAAGCATTTTAACCCATTTTTTAAACTTTATTAGGCATCACATATATCAAACTGGCTTTTATTTTAGTGGTAAATCTCTCTACTTAAAAAGATCTCGAAAAAGCCTCCAGGTTTTGTCAGGGGCCCTTAATGCCTGTCAGTACCCCCAATCCCTCCAAATTCAGTGAGATGGAATGCTTTCATGGAGCTGGCTTCTCCCATATATTCATTTAATTATGGAGAAGCATCTTTCTCCATTTTCATCTTTTGATGTATAATTCCTATTTGGGAGCTGCTTTAGGCGAGGGCAAAACAATCTGCAATAGCCAATCTGGCTCTTCCAGGGAAGTGGATGTGTATTTAGTTTATTACAAACTGACTTAGAAAGCACCTACCACTTTCACATTTGCCTTTTCACAGTATATTTTTGAAAACATTTCAGCTTTTTCCCCATCTGCAATTTTTTAGAAGAGTTACTTTTCAAACCTCGCTGAAATGTCACCAACCCTGTGCTTGTATCTCACATAGAATCAATTTTAACATCTTTGCAAAATCCTGGCACAGACAAGCACAACTTATTTTCAGAGTCTGTAAATATTTTGCTTACCAATATCAGCTTCCCTGTGATTCTTGATGTATTCAGCAAGCTCAAAATTTCCCGCTATTATAGCCACCTAAAGGGTTGTAAAATAGGCACAATTAATACATTGTCATCACTTGCTATGAAGGAAAACACGACATCACTGGCAAACATCAGGCAAACATACTTTCATTTCACAAAGTGGAGTGATTCTATTACTTTCCTTCTGCAATACATATCTGAAACACCAATACAACACTGAAACAGCAAGAAATGAAATCTTAATCTGTTTGTAAGAGCACTGTCAGTCCCCCAGCTGCCCATTTTGCAGGAATGCTGGGATGGTGGCAGTCTCAGGATGCTGCTGGAAGAGCTGCTGCTCTTCACGTGGTGGCAGTCCAAGGCAGCAGTGAACATTAAGCACAGCACCCCCAAAGCTCTGGGAGCTGTACTGGTGTGTGGGGAATGCTGCAGGAGAGACACGCTGAAGATATTATCTCCCTTTAATTGCTCCTGCCTCACTCCTTACCTGAGCAATAAAAACAGGAGCTGAAATGCAAAGTATATGAGAGAACCAAAGACTGGTAGCAAGAGCTACCAGTATTCATGTACCACTAAGGCACCAAAAATCACACTGAAAGAGAGAGACTGGTGAAGTTTAAGCACATGCATAGAGTTTAAAATGTCTAAATACATTGAGTTCTAAAATAACAATTTTGTTTTTCATTTCCTGACTTTTGAACAGAGATCTGAATTCTTATTTCAATGGACTTAAAAAGAAGAACATCTCCAACGGGTGTGAGAGAAGCAATTCAGTTTTGCCATTGCTGGTTTCTCCCTTTTTCTTCTTTCTTCTTCTCCTCTTTTTGCCCTGAATATCAAGGAATTGTTTCTTTTGGCCCCATTTTGTGGCTTTGACAGATCCTGTTCTCTAGTGGCACTGTAGCTTTCCTGATGCATGTGGAAGGTATAAGCTGGGCTCACCTTTCTCATAGAAACTTCTGCATCTACAGGGTGCAGGTTTAAAAAAAATTGAAAAATATCTTGCTTTAGGATTCTCTTGTTTATAGGACTGTATCCAAGAGAATCAGACATGAGAAATTATTAAAAACTCAATGAAAAATTCTGAGCTGATGACCAAGAAAAATTATTTGTTGATTTGTGCCTCTCCATGTATGAAGAATGGTGCAAAGGAAGACTTAAATGCTGCAATGGTCTTGGGGAGTGTGCAAAGTACAGTTAATGTCAGCAATATCTTTGAATGTAACAAGCATAAGATCTCATTTCTGCACTCATGCAAGGAAATTGAATAGACAATTTTATTTACCAGTAACCAAAACAAACTAATATGGAAATCCCTGAAATTGAAGACTTTACACCCAAGCAGTGGCTGCCCCATCCCTGGCAGTGTCTAAGGCCAGGTTGGATGGGGCTTGGAGCAAGCTGGGATAGTGGAAGGTGTCCCTGCCCATGGCAAGGAGTGGAACTGGGTGACTTTAAGGTCCTTCCCAATCCACAGAACCCAAGGGATTCTGTGATGAGGGAGGTTGGACACTAACATTGTCAGTATTAATGCACTGACACCTCAACACCATCTGAAACCATCCATATGAAAATTACTATTTTGAATACTGGCAAACCAACCTTTTTTTTGGAAGCCCCTCCAGAGGGAAACAGTTTCTCAGCATGGATGACATCAGAATCTGGCCCCCAGTCTCCTCTGTGCAGCCCTGAAGTGCAGCTTATGCCTCTCCCTGGCAAACACCACTAGGAAAGCAACAGCAAAGCTGTACAAATCCTCTCTCTTTAACTTCCAATTCTGCAGCCTGGCTGGCTCCAAGTTCATAGCAGCAACATTTGTGTGCAGCTCTGAGGTTTTCTCTGCATTGTAAGCAAGTGGTAATACTTCTCTCTGATATTACCCCTAATTAGCAGTAAAATTCCAGCAAGGGGGGAAATTCAGCAGTGACAGGCAGCTTGCTAGACAGCAGCCGTAGCACTCAAATGAAAGAATTTTTGATACCGAGCAGATTTCAAACCTCAAGTAAAAACATGTTCTTCAAGTGATAAAGACATTTCATTATTTGGAAAAAAAAAATTTAAAAAAAGGTATTTCCAGATAACTAAAAGACAGCTTGACAGGGATTTGTTCCCATGTTTGCTTCTGAACCAGTAGATTCAGCAAGCTCAAGGAACCATTTTTTCTCAATTTAATTCATTTCAATGCACTAAAAACAGTATGTAAAATCCTTACAGCAGAATGAAGGAAAGATATTTTAAGATCTAAGGAAAGCAAGGAAAAGTTAAAAAGTACAAATATTTCTTGGCATAACATCAATGCGCTTCACTTGAATTTGATGGGTAAAATGTGTAGGAGAAAGTGAAGTCAGAGCAAAATCGGAAAGACGCAAAATGATACTCATTCAATTTGTACACTTACAAACCACAAAGCATGGCAACCAGAGCCTTTTTTCCATACAAATGTGTCTTAAACTGAAAGTATAGTAAATTCGCATGAAAATATAAATGTGAATACATTAAGACAAGTGAATGGTCTTCATAAGATCCAGAGATGGAACCAAATCAAGGTGGTGGAAATTCTCTCCTTGATCAAGTACCTAAAGCAGAGACCAACTGAAGTTCTCTATTTGTATTAATGTCTTTGTACTTTAGAAAAAAATAGTAATGCAGTGCCTTGGCAGGAAATACTAGTGTTTGATTCTTTCTGTTTTCATAATTTACATGGTTTTAAATAGCTATAGTTTGCTTTTCAGGATGTTCTGTAGACAACTGTTAGATATAAAATTAAGAGGTTATGGCAGGAAAGAAGGTTTTGTTTGAGGTTTCTTTTGATCACAAGACATCTTCTCTTGGCAGTGAAAAAGTAGCACAACCAGCAAAACTGCAGTGAAAATTTGCTTCCAATTCCAGTAGGAACTGGATTCCAGTCATCAAAATGCATCACGTGCGTGTTTACAGACATGAAATATCGCCATGAAAGGCTGGAGATAGCACTTTACAACTAGAGGCTATCTACTGACTGTTATGCTGAAGCTTCAAAAATTGCAGCTTTTCTAAAACTGCATATGCAGCAGTCTTGCCATAATTCAGGTTCTTTCATTCCTGCAGCAAATGTCCTTTCATGTCGTCCTTTTGACATCTATCTCATATCAAAAGTGTGTCCTCAGATACATTATACTGCAAACCTGATAAAACTTGGTTCTGCATCTTGTACAAAATAAAAACATCACTCACACAAAATTTGCACTAAAACTTGCTTTGTGTTTTGCCATGTTTTTAAAGGGTGTCTTTACTTTGCATCCAGAATCAGAAAGAGTTTACCTGCAGGGTCCCAGCATGGTGTCAATCAAAGCCCAGGAGAAAAGCCTGACTCAGTAATTCAGTGCTTTTAAACCCAAACCAGGACCTTTGTCTGCTGCAGACATTTGGTTGCGGGCCCTGCCACATTGTACTGTACAGAGAGCAGAAATTATCTTGTTGGGATTTTTTAAATCAGCATTAGAGGCAATTTGATATAAGACAGTAACCAAAGTGAATCACTTATCAGCTCCCTCCCAAGCTTAATTGACCCCACTAAGGCTGTTAACATAGGTACCTAATTATTACCAAATTACCTTTGATAACACACATGTCTGGCCTGGGTAAGTCTGCCACAGGGAAGCAAGCAGAGAGTAAAGCTAAGCAGGAAGATGGATCTTGGTAGGAAGCAACTAATATTAAATAAAAAGAGAGGATAAAAGCTTGCTGCTGGACAGTGGTGCCTCCTTCTCTTCCCACAATAATTTCTCTCCAGCGTGACAAAACTTAATGGAGTGCCCAAAACGGGTCCCAGCTGGGACACCCTGAAGCACAAAGCCATGGGGTGGACAACTCACTGGAGCAGAGCCAGGAGCTGGCTGTCACTCAGTGTGTGTAACAGGGAGCTTGACCAGAAAGGTTGTGTTTACAGAGACATTTCCTGTGCCTGGGGAGAAGCAGAGCTGTCACCGACACCCAGTGTCTCACTCGCTGTCTCACAGACAGATGTTTCTTTCAATGGTTCCAGGGCCTCACTGTTTGCCATGGCAGGCAGTGCCAGATGCTCTCCTGCCAAGCCAAGGGAGGAAGGGAAGGAGTTTAATCGACACTTGGCCAGTTGCTATGGGTGCTAACCAAGGGACAGCTCAGCCGAGTGGAAACCTGAATGAATGAAGCAGCTGCAAGGCAGGGACTGGGAGGGAGCAGGCAGGAGGTGGGAGCATCCCAGTACTCCTACTCCAGCACTGGGCAAGGAGCAACACCCTCAACACTGACAAGTAGGTGTCTTTCTCCTGACAGACCGTTGTCAGCCCTGGCTTTCTGATATTCACAGTCAGAAACAATCCCTCTGGATAAAGGCCCTGTTTAAACTGCCTTTCAGGAGTAAATTCAGAAATTAAATATTTGAGGCATCAGGTACTGTTTTTTTCTGAATCATATTCTCCAAAGAAACTTAGTTTAAATCATGGCAAATTACAGTACTTTGTGTAAACAGTGAAACTGTCCAGATGTCCTGTTACAGGTTTCAGTGTAACAGAGTTTCACAGTGTTTTCAGACTCTGCATCAGACAGAAGTAGCACTGACTCACCACCACCGCTCTGTTTAACCACATAAATGCAGTTCTAAAGATATTTCTTTACTTAGAATTCAAGTATTTATATTTTTATTTACATTTTTTGTTCCTTTTGGGAAACTAGAAGTTGGATTTACACTTTACCTGGCACTAACCTTTCACAACTGATATTTTTCTGCTCTTGAAATATAATCTCCACAGGTAGAGATTATATTAAATTAGAGAATGATTTTTTAGCCTGTTAACAAATACAATTTTAGAGCTTTATGGGCTAGTCCCTGAAAGGCAAACACCATGGCTAAATTACATTACCACTCTTGGGAACAAACTGCTCCACCCAAGGAGAAACAACAGAAAAAAGACAGAAACTGAAGCTGTCTCCTCTCAAATCAAGACAATGAACTTTGACAAACTTTCTGTTGGGACTGAAGAGAGCCTCTTAGTCCATTTATCTTCCACTCAGTCCAGGCTTCTGCCTTTC